TTTACCAGAAACATGAAAAGCAAGAGAGAGAGCACAGTTTTATTTTTTTACATAAATCTATAATGAATAGTGGAATAACTTGAGTTTTAAACAATTTCTTGGGTAGGTGCTAATTTAAACTTTTAATTTAAACACTTGACCGAACGGTAATGTAATGATAACATACGATGAAAGTCCTTTAGTTCGTAATAAAAATAAATAATTATCGAGGACTTACTATGTTCCAGAGCATGTTTATATTGTTCACTCTCACTCCTCATAAACATCTCCACTAGAAAGTAAGTTCCATGAGGGCAAGGATTTTTTTGTTTTGTTTTGGTCACTGCTATTCCCAGTAGTTCTGAAAAAAATTAACTAACTACCTATAACATAGCTACTGTTATTAAATTGAGGAAATCAAAGCATAGAGGGCTAAAGCAGCTTGCCTAAGATCACATAGCTAGTCTGATTCCAGAACCTGTACTCTCAACTTCCATTATATCCTGCAGCCTCTGTTGTCTCTAGAGAAATAATAGCTGTCACTTATTCATAGAGTTAATTGTTAGAGGTCTATGATAGTCTAGTGGAGGGTTTCCCCACATAAGCACTATTCACATTTTGACCTGGATATTTCTTTTATGTCAAAGGCTTTCCTGCTTATTGTAAAATATTCAGCAGCATCCTGGCCTCTACCCACTACATACCAGTAACAACTTCCCAGTTGTGAACAATATTCAAAAATGTTGCCAGATGTTTCCAGATATCCGCTGGGAGATAAATTTACTCCCCTGATTATGAAAACCACTGATCTAAACCTTTACAATAAAATATCAGAGAAGGCTGGAAGTACGAGTAGGTAAACACCTGGCATCATCTTTAGAAAAGTTTGGGCTTCTTGCTATGCCACAGTGAGTTCAGAGACAAGGTGGGAATTAATTTGTTCTGTGACCATAAGTATGATTGTATCAGAACCTGAATTTTGTCCCTCCTTTATAAGTATTCCTCTGAAAACACAGACTTATATAACATCATATCTTTCCAGTTTTTCCTTTTCATTTATGAAGAGCATAAAATCCTTGGCAAGGATTTTAAAAGCAATACCTTTTCTTTCAAAGCTTCAAATACATTTCTAGTAGAGGAGAGATTTGTTAGTTCCTAATTTAGTAGCGCAATCGGTTTTGCTCTAATACAATACATATGTTCCTAAAAATCACCTCACTCTGCAAAATTGGGCAATGAAAAGCTTGGGGCTTCTGTGAAAAAAAATGGATTTAGGAACATACCACTCAAAAATTTTATTGGTGACACATAAACCAATAAAATAACAAGTGGTTGTACAGTTTCACACATGTTAAACGGTTAGGATATACAAAAATACTTCCAATATACTTTGCCTTGAAAAAGACCTGCAGTTTGCTTGTGGAAATGGTCATTGGAACAGTTTCAGCTTGTGAGTTTTTGGGAAGTGTTGGAAGTAGGGATATCTGAAATTAGAAAGTTGTATCACTACATGTGGGTGGGTGAGTGTTTCATAAAACAGGCAATTAACTCAAGTAGCTGGTAGATGTTCGCAGTTATATACTTGTGCAATTTGTGTATTGTGTGGCTGGAATTCTATTGGGTGCAGTTTTGTGCATTCTCCTAGAGTTTCTCACAGACAAGATCAGGCATAAACGTGTAATTTATGTGATGCTCAAATTATTCTCTAATGTATGAATCACATTGGAACACACTACCATACAAGGGGTATAGCAAAACTAATGATACTCTTGATCTATCTTTTGAGACCCTTAAAAAAAAAAACTTGTGAACTACAAAAAGAATGGCAAGTGTAGGATGAAGACATATGCTTTGTAAATAGTGCTGGGAACAAACTTTGGTAGACTTGGTGAAAGGCTGGGAATCACTGTCTTCCCTGCTCTTCCCCATGGTCCTGAGCAGTCAATCTTTGGAGCCAAGGACAGTGACCATGACTTGATACTTAACAGTGGGTCAGCCACCTCCCACAGTACCCAGTTGCTATATGCATTAAAGAATTAATGTATTATGTATTAAAAGAATTCTATACATTAACAGATGCCTTTGTGGAATTTTTTCCCAAAAGACTCATTTGGATTTCATTTATATTGATTATCATGTATTGACTCTCAGTATTTAACTTATATTTTTAATTTCTGTGAATGACATAGAAATTATGTTTGTCCTTTATCAGTACAATACTTAAAATGCAACAGACTATAAAAATGAAGTGTAAATACCAACATAATAAAAAGAAATGATGTGGAAATTAAAAATATATTTAAAATAAATTTTTAGGTATGTAAAGATGAACATAAAAATACATTTTTACAAGAGCAGTGAGGATGGACAGTCTTATCAGGTAGTGGAAAATTACCACATTTCAGTAGTTCTGAGACTGGAATTGATATTTTGGTATGTCATACTTTTAATTTATTTTAATTCCTTTTTGACAAAAATGATTAGAAAACATCACTCTGGTTTTTCTATTTGATAAGTATGTTTTATAGGAGATGACAGTGTTTTTATTCTAATTGCCTGGAAAAATCTTATTTTTTCTGAATTTGATGTTTATAGAAACCTAGTAATCTTGAGTGATTATCACTTAAAATACATCACTGTACAGATTTTGGGATTTAACATTTTAGCAATGTACTATGTATATTTTTTAAAACTACTAACCAAGAGCCAGATTTTAGTATTATATAAGTCAGAACAAATGAATAAACATTTGAGAGGACTTCTTTGTTTACTTTATATTAACAATTAGACAAATGTAGTAGGAGAGGTTTTTTTTTCCGTTAAAAATAGTAAAAAATCTTTCCTGTTAGAGTGTCCTTGTAATTTTATATGAATTTTTATGTCAGTTTAATATCATAACATTAAATAAAATACTTTAAAGACGTAAAATAAGAATATAAATATATTCATATTTCACATTGGTTTTAGCCACCAGTCTTTTAACTAAGATGAAAGCTAAGATTTTTATCTAGTTAGTTTTACTTTAAGACATTGTGCATCCTTGTCTAATGGGTACTCAAATCTAACGAGTGTTCAGGAAGTCAGTGTAGTCTCTTAGCTCAATAACCATCACCGAGCCATGTCATTATATTTTAGAGCTGAAATGTTAGGATCAGAGTCTACTGTAGTCCTCCCAGGTACAATGATATAGCAGAGGAAAATAATGCAATATCTAGGAGGTTGTTTGTTTTCTTTTTGCAATATTGTTTTTTTATAAAAAGGATTTTGTATATTTCTGTTTTATCCACTACTCAACCAATTCTAACTCTTTAACACTTCTTCCCAAAGAAAAACTTACAAAAAAAAAAAAAGAAAGCTATCCTCCATTTTTTATTAAGATATCTAGTCCCCATCACAGGTTCCTTCTTCCCACAGCGTTTTATTCTGTTCAAACACCAGAATGTGTCAGAATTTACATACCTTGACACATTCGTAGTATTCATCACATTTGGGTATTTTAGTATTTTCCACTATCTCCAGAAGCTATGCTTTCTTAGATATTCTGTTATCAATTTATTTCTTATTATGTAAACTCATATCCCACATGAGACCTTAGTTTCCACTATTGTATTTTTTTAAATTGGCAGGTAAGAATGTCACTTGCATACTTTTTACATAGTGAAAACAACACCCCAAATAAATATTTAAAACCCACCAAATCTTAACACCTGTAGAATGTGTATGTATAAAGACCAACTACCACAAAAAGCTGATAACTTAGTAGTCCTGTGTACTTAGTAGACTAAAGGAATAATACACAGTTGTCATTATGTAATTTTTAAAAAACTATACCTGTACCTTTTATATGGTTTTAGTTTTATTTAATGGCTAGAATTTCAAGTACTGAGTTACCAATAAAAATAATATTAATAAAAGTTAGGATTTGGAAAAAGAACCTAAGTAAAGTCTGCCAGAAAGTTTGTGGCTGGTGGTTATAGACTTCCCACAATCCAGAGCACTTCCAATAATCTTTTAAGATTAACAAAGCAATATTCAGGACATCTTAAATTTTCTCTGTAATGAAAATAAATTTTCTTAGGTTAGGCACACCAATAATAGGTTGTTTTATGGTATAAAACCCAATGGGGAAATATTAATTTTCAAATAATAATCTGTTATTTAACATATCAGTGTATATTGCATATTAGTTTGGGCACCTGGTATGTTTGGCTTAGATAGATAAATAGTTTCGGGTTTTTTTCTACTCATTTAAAGAAGATTGTAGGAAACCTAATAGTTTTATTACTCAGCCCTGAAAAAATAGTATTTCTTATGCAAAAGTCTTAGGCTCCAAAAAAATAATCATCCTTTCATTCAAAGCAAATTTTTTCAGCAAAACAAGTAGATTTTTCTTTGTTTCAGTTGTCATTTGTACATTTCCTTTAAGGATTTTGTTTTCTCTCCATTCCAATTTTCTGTAGCATATTTTCCTCAAGTATCATGGATCAGTCTCATTACACTATTTATATAAAGATTCTTTTATAAAACAAGAACACCATAAATTATTGCTCTTCCAGTGGTACCATTTATTTTTTAATGTGCTGGTGCCCATATAGAGTACTGTTAGGTTATGGGGGCGGTTTATATGTGAATTTAGTATTAGGTGCCTAAATTGAGATACAAAATAATGTAAGTGGGTAGGTACTCATACTTATTTTTGCGGCCCACCTATCAGATGTAAAATGCAATGATCAGGGAGCCAAATCGACTTACCTCTGCTTTAAAACAAAAAATAATTGAGGTCAGACTGGAAAAGTGAATTTATCTGTATTATAAAACTGTAAGTAGCATTTACACGCGTGTATACACAGTAGGTAGTCGAAAAGGTGTATTTAGAAATTTCAACACTTGGAGATTTGAATTTCATCTTCTTTATTCACTAATTTTAATGTTATAATAAAGAAATGGCTATTTGCTACTAGACTCTTAGAAAAATGTTTGTGATAGGAGTACATAAATTTTCTCTTTTTGTCTTTTCTCAGCCATAATGAAAGGAAAGTGACCTGTAAACATCCAGTCACAGGACAGCCATCACAGGACAATTGTATTTTTGTAGTGAATGAACAGTAAGTAAAGAGTTTCATGGAATCCCTCTGTTGAAAATAGAATTGGCATTGAGATTGCTGTTACCCATATTTAAGACAAAAAATTAACGGCTTTCTTATATGAACATTTACAGTCAAGCATGATAACAGAATGATGTCTGTTTACTATGTGTAGTATAGAGAAATTATTTTAAAAAATTTTTTAATGAGGAATGTAATTTCAAAGGCTGTTTTTACAGTAGTTCCAACAGAGAGTAAGCTCAAGAGCCTCGGGTTTAAGGTCAGAAACTGTAAATTTGGTCAGATTGTTAAACTAATTTGAGCCCAGTTTCTTATCCTTAAATCAAAGATAGTGATAATTACCATTTCTCAGGATTTTTATAAGCATCAAATGAAATATGTGTGAAAATATTTTATATATTATAAATCTGTTCACAAATATTAGCTTTTGATATCATTGTTATTGTTTTCAATATTGTAATAGCTAATTTTGTCACTACATTTTTAAAGTTTCCAGTTAGATGACCAAGTAAAATATCTGTAATAACAGTTATTAAAATGAACATGCTAATAACTTATGTTGTGATTCGAAAAAGTGTTAGTTATGTTTAAAGTAGCTGTAAATATTAAGCTTTGACTATAGAACTTTATTAAGCTCTAACTTGTATCAAACTATTTTGAAAAAGTAGGCTACCAACATTGTGAACCTTAGAGAAGCTTTATTTTAAAGCAGTTTACGTAAACAGCAAGTTCTAGCATTCTGACATATTATATTTTCAGGACTGTTCCAACTATGACATCTGAAGAAAAGAAGGAACGACCTATAAGCATGATAAATGAAGCTTCTAACTATAACATGACTTCAGATTATGCAGTGCATCCAATGAGCCCTGTAGGAAGAGTAAGTTATTTTGCTTACTGTTACTGATAGCTGATATAATTGGTAGTCACTATTTTGCTATTACTCTGAATAGCCTTTAGAATATAAATAATCATTTCATTTTTTTATTACATGAACCTAATTACATTAAGGGTAATTGACGTAAGAAGCAATGGCTTGGAATATAAAGTAATATTATATTTTAAGAATTTAATGACTTACATTTTTAAAAATATGAAGTTCAGATTTTGAATAATTTCACAAATGCAATAATGGATGTTTAAGAGAGTTAGAGTTTATTGAATTAAGTTTTAAAGGTGAAGATTAATATAATAATGGCCTAGAAATTCTATTTTCTGACTACTAAGTATGCCTAGATGGAGCAAATTTATACTATTTAAAAATAAATGTAAAATCCCTTACTATGAAAGGGAAACTCTATACCAGTATGCTTGACGACTATGTTGTATTTAGAATCAACTATATGAAAAGTGCCATAACCATATATATATAGAAATAGAAGTGAGTGGTTTTCTTCAGCAATGACAATGTTAATTGTTTAATCTGTGATCCTAGAGTTGTATGTCTACTTTAAAACTTGTTATTGCTTCTTATACTTTAAAACATAATGTTATTTTAAATTTAGAATTTTAATATAAAAATTTCTTCAAACTCTGAAAATTTGCTACTAAATCTGAATAAATAAATAATTGCCTTAAAGGTATTGCTAATTTCCTAAATTAATGAATATTGAGAGAATCAAAGGATGATAAAGAATAATCTTATTTACTTAAAAAACAATATATTTAAAACAACTATTTTATGATAGTAAAACAATTATAATAGTAAATTATGGTTAATGTAAAGAAATAGTCACTAGTTATCTACTTTAAATGCTTGTTAAGGTTTTAGAAATGAAATTTTGTAAAATATTATAAGTGTGAATGTAAATTTTCAAATAACAATTTTTAATTCTCGTATGACATAAAACACTAGTAGGATAACTGTATTATAAGCTTCATTAATGTATTTTAATTAAAATCTAGAAAAATGATAGGTGGATTAAGGCCCACTAAGTGATTGTCTGGAAAGAAAATTGGATCTGTGCCTCATACTTTACACCAAAAATTTTCTAGATAGATGAGGTGCTAAAATGTTAAAAACAAAACTAAAGTACCACAAAAACAGTGGAAGATTTAGAAAGAAACAAACAAACAAACTAACTCAGAATGTAGATGGGCTTTCTAAATATGACTTAAAACCCAGAAGTCAGATCAAGAAATACAACCATAGAAAATTATCATGCATGCGTAATATCTACGATTCATGTAACAGTTAAAGAAAAATTCCTTTGTAATTAATAGATGTAGAGCATCAATAAGAAAAAGGCTTATAACCCAGTGTTTAAATGGGCAAATACGGAAAATCACTTTCCTGAAATAAAAAATGGAATTTTACTCTTAAAATATATGAAAAAGATTCTCAAATTCATTTGTAATATGAAAAATGCTAGTTAAAACCAGAAAAGGACATCATTTTTCACTTCTCTGATTTACAAAGACTAAAAAGATTTATGACATAGGCGAAAGTGTGAGTAAGTAGGCATTCTTTTTATGTAGTGAGCTCCAAAAAATAGTGAAATTGAAAAGAGCGGATATTGTAGATGATGTCATTTGAAGAGGGAAAAAAAAGATATTCTGCAACCAAGAAAACAGTTATTTTAGAAGGATAGACACATAGATACGCAGTGATACTGGTTGCCTCACAGGATTGTGAGTGAGCGTTGTTTGGGTGCCGGTGCCCAGGGGTGAGAGAGAAGTAGAATGTTTCTTGTTTTATATTTGAGGTGTTTTTTTGTTTGTTTGTTTGTTTTTCTTTTCCTTTTTTTCTTTTTTTTTTTTTTTTTTTGGTACTATTTGAGTTGTATATTGTGTTTCAACATTATCTGTTCAAAAGTAAATTAAAATTTATCAGAAATGTGCTTTAGGAAAAATGTGATTGATTTTGGGCCTTAACATTTTATTATGTACTAAACATAAAACGAAATTCTAATGAAATATGCTAGATTTCCAAAGATTATAGATAAGTTGAAAGATGACTTGATATTATTTACTTTCATAGAGAAATTAAAATTCAGCTTCTTTTTTTGTTGTTGTTTTCTACTACTATTTCTGCCAAATATAGCAATATCTTAAAAGATTGTATATCCTTATGTGTACTTTTAAGAATACAGTAAACACCAGCTGTCTGGTATCATTCAAGTTCAGAGTTACCCATAAAGAAAATACTACATGACATTAAGCAGATCTTTCCACTCTTATTTTGACTTGATGTGATATGTTTGTTTATATTTTATATCTAAGTGTTTCTCTTGTGACTTGATGCTAACTTTCATATTTAAAACAGCACTGTTAAATGCAGATATAAAGGGAAAATTTGTGTTATTTTTTTTATTTTTAAAGCTGTGTTAATAATTTTTACTCAAGGTTCATTCAATTTATATAACATGTGGGACAAAATACTGACACACCCAGTGCCTTTTTAAAAATTGTATATCCAGATTTAAAGGAGAGATTGTAGAAAAACTTGTGATTCTTCTGTAATATCCTGGAGGAAGAAGTCTTTCTTCACAATTCTTACACTTGAAAGAGCTAAACCAGCAAAAGCAGAATTGCAATAATTCATCTGAAAAGATTAAGTATTCAGAGTAATATGAAAAGAGATTAAAATTATGAAGATGAAATATAAACTCAAATATCTAGTTCTTAATACCACATTGTCTATTGTGCTTTTTTCTATTTAGACCTCACGGGCTTCAAAAAAAGTTCATAATTTTGGAAAGAGATCAAATTCAATTAAAAGGAATCCTAATGCACCTGTGGTTAGACGAGGTTGGCTTTATAAGCAGGTATTTTTTTTTTATCCTATTTGGTGTGAAAAAAAGACGGAATCAAAAGAGAATTTTTCGGCCAAGTGTACCTAAGATTTATTATATTATATGAAATGGAGGAAGAACTGTAGTCATCCGGGTTCTTTGACTTCTTATTACCACTAAAGAATGTTAGGGGAATGGTGAAGAAAGAAAAGGTAATGGATGTTACTTAGAACAGGCTGTGTGTTATAGACATTTCTAGATTTGAAATATATTGTATGAAATGTAGGAATAACATGCTAAAATTATCCAGGCAGAAATATTTTTTAAATGGAAAAAAACCTACAGAGGTATTATTCATTTTTCTATTCTTTTAAAAATCATTAGAGAAATGTACAATTATATACTTCTCTGCCTTAATTTATAGACAAATCTGATCATAATTTGAGATTTTCTGATTTTTGGATTTTTTCTTTTATGCTCTCAAGACTACTTTCTTTAGTATTGATGCTGGGTTTTTTTGTTTGTTTTTTTCCTTTTTCTTTTATTTGCTCAAGCATGGTTCACTTTCAGACATGCTTATAAGTTGAGGGTTATATTGTTCTATTGTCTGGGAAACCTGATAACTGAGCTTTTTTGGAACTTTGTCATTAATTTTGGAATTAGTAGGAGTGCATGTACATTGGGTTTTATGACATCTATTTTGACTGCTTGGAGGCTGTTTTCCTTTTTACTTTTTGAATTGTGGCTAGGTTTCAATAAGTAACCACCAGATAACTGAGATGATATATTTGGCATTCAAGACCTTTATCTTTGTTCTGTCTCCCCGATTCTACATGTATACAGATGATACAGAACAAGTTAAATAATAGTTCTTTGATGATAGTGCATATTTCTTCTGTCAAATATTGCTAATTGCTTTTGGATGACCTAATAATTATATGCATTAAAATTCATAATGAATTTGATATGAAACATTCATTAAACATTGTTCCATGTGAAAGTTGGGTAGCAGCTAAACTAATGTATTGGAAGAGGACCATCTTAAAATACAGAGAATTCCCAATCATTCAGGCAAATTAGTTTTGCCAATTTCTCACTAAGTTAATTGGTTATGTAACTTGTATACCAACTTTTCATTTTTATTTAAAGATATTATATTTTACCTATATGATATTTAAACTTATTAAAGCTAAAAGATTTTTTAAACTAGTCTTTCTAGTAAGACCAAATTATGTTCAAATAGCTCAGTGCAGTATTGTACCTAATTGAGTTTATGGGAACTCCTTATTTAAAATGATTCTAATTCTTGTTTCTTGATCCCTTGGTTAATTTATTACTGCGAAAGTTACCAACCAATTTCTCTACCATGAGTGCTTATTTTTTAATAGGCGTGACTTATAGAGAATATTTATTTGCAGAGGTGCTTAAAAATCTAAACTTTTTAAAATTATCTGTACCAAGGAAAGAATATAATTAGGAAATTAAAAATACCGTATACCCATTTTTTGTTTATTTTTTGTTTTGGTCTTTTCCTTGCATAGCTCTCAGTTTTAAGTACAGTATTTTACTCTGAGAGATTTTCATCCATGTATTTTGTTGTTGTTATTGTTAAGTCATTATTAGATGATGGTCACAACTAGAAGAAAATTAAGAAATATTGCTCAATTAACATCCAAACTGGCCTTTTTTCCCCCTGGTATTCATGTTTCATTTTCTCTTTCAGTTTTGCTTTATTGCCTTTGGGAAATGTGGAAAGATAATTTTTATTAAAATTGTAATTTTGTTTGAGCTTGGTATTTTTATGAATTAAATTACTTAGAAAGAGCTGCCAAATAGGCACTCTTTTCTGCAGGATGAGCAAAACCCAGACTGTATATGTCAGAAGAAAAAATATTTATGAATGTATTTGTATGCTAAGTTTCCTTTAGCACAGTCATTTAAAATCACATTACCTTTGGAATAATTTTAATCCACATATTTTTCTTCTTGTTGAAGATTAACATATTTATTAAATTCGATTTACCAGAATCATGTACTGCTTCATGGTTACATTATCCTCATGCTAACAGACATGTTTGTTTAGAAGAGTGAATTTCACATTGCTTACCAATATGAAATCAAATTAGAATGCTTCAACAGTATTCCTTTTATATGATAGTATTACTCTTCAGAGACCGTTGTACTTGGGAATATCTTAATATGATGCAAGTCCATAGAAAACTACGCCAAAATTTTGATTGGCTTTTTAAATTTCTGTGTAGCATATATCAAACACACCTCATTTTTAAAATTTATTTTACATAAATGCACCTGAAATGAAGTCTAACTTTCTGAAATGAAAAAAAAAATTTTTAACGTGCTGATTTAATGCAGGACAGTACTGGCATGAAGCTATGGAAGAAACGCTGGTTCGTGCTTTCTGACCTTTGTCTTTTTTATTACAGAGGTAGGTGAGTTTATCATAAACTAAGTATATTTTATAATTGCAATACAATATATGTTAAGTATTAGATCCTTTTTTAAAGAAAAAATGTCAATCCTTTTTGTATTTTATTATTAACAAATAGCAGAAAAATCTTTTCTTCATTGACATATAATACTGAGAAATTGAGTTAGGACAGAAGACAATATAGTGTTTCAAGCAAATTAGTCTGAATTTTGGTCCAGTTTCTATAATCTAAGTGTGTTAATCTGATTAGTTTTGTGTAAAGAATATATGAATCTTCATGCTATAATTTTATCCTTGAATTCAGTGCCTGATAGACTTTTTTTAAAAATCATGTGTTTGATGAGATTATTTTTGTGTCAGCTTTGTTAGATCTAGCTGTAGGTCTACTGGGCAGCCAGTTTTCCTCAGCAAATAATTTTAGACTGTCAAAGGCTACTCTGATGTATTGGCACATTTTAAAAATTACAAATAAATGTATTTATTATGATTCCCTCCAGCCTCCCTCCCAACACACACACACACACACGCCTTTTTTTTTTTTTTTTAAGCAAACATTGACAGCTTCCCTGAAACATGGCGCAAGTTGTGGAAGGGGTATATACCAGGCTGTCAGTGTTGATGGAGAAGAAATAAGGGTATTATTATATGGAGTAGCAGTTTTTCATTTATCCCATATGGATATCATAAACTCCTTTTTATGTGTTTTTTAGGTTAGTAAATTATTAATATGATTTTAACTCAGATCTGTGCTCATGTGCTTATATAAGTCTGTTAGATACTACAAAGTTGCTACCTAATAATGAAGGGTGTTGTACATAGGCTATGATTTCTGTAGAACTCTGCTTCAGCTGTAATATAAAATCATGAATCTAGACAATCACTTCTTCCTTACTTTAACTGTTTCTGGTTGGAAACAGTTACTAAAGAATTAGATTGTCAGCACATAATTAATAATTAATAACTTTAATAACTATATCACAAGATTTTAGAACCATTTAGCAGTTTCAAATTTTACTTTATGTGATTACACAAAAAAAAAAATGTGGCATAATTTTGCACTCATCTATCAAAGCAATAATAATACATGTTAACCTTTAAAATTTAAATTACTTGAATTATATTTATCTTATTTCCCCCAACTGCAAACTGTGGTTGAGAAGTACTGCTGAGTCAGAATTAACCAAACCTATAAAATTTCATTTTGTCAGAGAGATGTTGGTCAGGCTGCAATTGTGGTATTATCTTTAGTTAAGTGCCAAGCTTACTCTACAATTTTCCTTAAAGGTTTTCCCCACTCTTTCAGAAAAGTCAAGAGTTGTAACTCAGACATTATTCCTAAGCTTATAAATTTTTTCCAGTATATTTATAGACTGTTCAGAGCTTTGAATGAGAATAAGAAAATATTTGTTACTTCTCATATAAAAATTTCTTGATGTTAATTTGCAACAAAAACAACACTGAATTCCTTATAATTTGCTATTGTTCACGGAAAGGTGCTCCTCATTACTTTTATTAAAATAGGAAGACTTTTCACCTGATTTGAAAAAGTAAAGTTCAGAAGCTATGTTGAGTATGAGATTTCATACTGTTATTAACCCTACACATTTTACATTCAGTGTATTTATTAATTTTAGTATGGTTCCTCAGATAGGAATAGTAGAAAAAGAATATAGAAAGGAAAGAAATACCATTTAACTCACTTCTATCCTTATATGATTGGAAAGAAGTATATGATATTATATACTTTCACTGTTTTATCA